CTCCCACCGATAGAGATAAAGCTGCAGTAGGCTTGTGGTTTCGGCATTATATGGCTAAATCGATATATACGAGACGCTGCCTACCTGCATCCGCGTTATAAAAATGTCCATAAACAATTGGTAAGTTTATATACTTTTGGTTTGAAAATGTTTGGTTAAGTAACTAGAATTCAATAATTTGCTGTTTGTAGGTTTTAGATGTGTAGAAAGTGTTGTTTGAACAAATGTTTGGTTTCTGCAGGTTAATCTCAGAAGTGAACTGCGTGAAAATGATGTCGAGCTGCAAAAGTTGATTCAATAGTTTAATTGATTGTTTTTTGATTGTTTAATTGATTTGTAAAAGTTGATTCAATAGTAGATGATCGGAAATAAGAATTATTGCTTATTTTTTGATTGTTTAATTGATTTGTAAAAGATGATTTGTAAAAGTTGATTTGTGTAATTGATGCGAACATAATTCTTATTTGTGCTTGTTTAATTGATTGAAATGTAATGGTTGATTTTGTTGATTTCAATCTGCATTATGTTGAAGGCAAAAATGACTATCGCAATGCGAAATGAAAATCGCAATGCGAAATGAAAATCGCAACGAGAGAATCGCAATGCGAAATGAAAATCGCAATGCGGAAATGAAAATCGCAATGCGATTATAATTTCGCATTGCGATTATCTCGTTGCGATTTTCATTTCGCATTGCGATTTTCATTTCGCATTGCGATTCTTTCGTTGCGATTTTCATTTCGCATTGCGATTTTCATTTCGCATTGCGATTTTAATTTCGCATTGCGATTCTGTCGTTGCGATTTTCATTTCGCATTGCGATTTTCATTTCGCATTGCGATTCTCTCGTTGCGATTTTCATTTCGCATTGCGATTTTCATTTCGCATTGCGATTCTCTCGTTGCGATTTTCATTTCCGCATTGCGATTTTCATGTTGGGATTTTCATTTCGCGTTGCGATTGTATTTTCCGTGTTGCGATAGTCAAATGCATGCCTAATAGTGATAACAACTGAATAACAAGAGTTGGTTAAGTCAAAATGGTTGGCCTGAGTCATTAATTCAACTGAAAATGTTAAAAGTTCACACATAAAATCCACATAATACAACGTTTGCATTTAAAAATCACCTAAGTTAACAGTCTCAAAAGGTGAAGCCAATCGTGATTGGGATTTTAAAGATGATTGCCTTTTGCTTGACACCATATGAGCTTTGGATTTTGATGAGGATCCATATTTTGGTAGAGGAAAAGATGATTTTGATGGCACTGGTGATCCACATGTCAACCTTGTATGACCACTTTCCTTGCACCGACTACATGTCGATCTCTTCTTCTCTTCACCCTTAGACGGTATACGATCGTGACTTTTTGGTCGGCCAGGTAGCCTTCTGTCCATGGCTGGTGGCAAAACTGTTTGTAAGTCATCTGGTATGTCCCACTCAGAAGGATGTGGAATAGGGTAGACAATCTCGGCATAAGTCTGTCGATAAACTTCTGTAGTGTAGCAATCCATAGCGTATGCGCTTGAATCATCTTGGTTTAAATGAAGAGCAACTTTTATAACATGGCCACACGGATAACCAGATGTTTGCCATTTCATACAACTACACGTCTTTGCATTTAGATCGACTAGCCCATTTAAGTTATTATCCAGTACTTGAAACAAAGTGTTTGAACATGGTTCAACTCTCCATGACGTTGACTTCACAACACGTTTCGTTATCTTTTTTTCAGTCCATGGTGTAACACGATGTTCCAATGTTCCTGTAAATTTAAATAAACAATACTTAGTAAAATATATAAATATGATAAGTTACGAATTCAAAGAAATAATACCTGCATGGTTTCTTTTCTTGTAGTACCACTGTTGAATAGAGGCTCGAAAAAACTCCATTAACATAGTAATGGGTAATTTCCGGGAATGACGACTTAGAGCGTTGATTGATTCTGCACTATTAGACGTCATGAAACCATATCTTGCTCCAAGTTGATGTACTCTTGACCATCTTTCAAACCCGACATCTTCTAGTGTTTGAGCACACTGAGGCAAAACACGTCTTAAACAATTTATATGCTTATTGAAATCCACTTCCCGATAAGCTTTTACAGCCTTCCAGTATGTCCATTTGTGCTTTTTTATACCAGCAGACCTTGATTTTAGATTTCTATACAAATGAACACCACAAAGTCCATGAAAAGCATCTGGGAAACACCTTCTAACAGCGTTGTCAATTGAGTTTGCCCTATCGGATATGATTGTCAGATTGCTAATAGGACCTATGCAATCCCTAAGATGCCCCATAAACCATGTCCATGAATCAGAGGTTTCAGATTTGCCAACCCGTAAGCTATTGGCAATATCCCATTGTTAGCATCCATGGCTACTGCTAATAAGTTTACTCCAAGGTATCGACCTTTCAAATGTGCTCCGTCAACTATAATAACTGGGCGCATGCAAGTAATAAACGAACGAATCTACAAAATAATATACACAAGAAATATAATCATTTAAATGTGAAATGCATGTAACTAACAAAAATGAGTCAACAAAATTATATTGATTTACTAACCGTAGCACCAATGGCGATAAACAGCAACTCAAAGCGTCCATCTCTATCTGTTTGATATGAGTTACCGACCCAGGATTTTTCAGCTTTAAATTGTGACAATAAGCCGGCAGTTGGGCAAACGATGCTTCTGGCGACCCCCTCAACAATTCCAAGGCATAACATTTGGCTCTCCAAGCTTGAGAATATGATATACTAATCTTGAACCGAGCATTCATGTCAGTCATAATTTCATGTCCCCGATATACCCTGCCATTCAAAAACATTAACTCAGCCAGAAAACCACCCAACACCTTTTGTTTGCCTGTCTATGGTGAGGAAAAACTTGGGTTCTTGAACATGTATGTTTATCAATAAAAGTCCTAACTTGAAACATTTTGCAATCTTTATTCTCTTTGCAATCATACGCCACGTACAGTTTTGTCAATCATACACCTTGTTTCGAAACGATCTTTGCTTGATTTGTTAACTTTTAGTTGATAGCCATCTTCCACACATTTCGTATATAAAGCTATCTTCAAGTCTTCCTTTGTATCAAAACAATCATCTTTCTTGATACGAATAACTTTTGTGTAACAATCAACTGCTTTCTTTATCAACTCTTCTTCCGGTATCTGAAGTAATTCTGGCATATTCCAGTTATACGCCCGTGGCATTTTCTTTTCTTCGGGGACTTTTTCTTCTTCTTTTTCTTCTTCAGGATTATATGAATTACAGAATGGATGTTCAACATGTTCATTCACAGTCGTAACTTCCTCCTCATTATCATCAACATTACATTCTTCGGCAACGGCTGTTTCATCATCAAAATTCGGGTATTGACCAATATCAATATCATTACACGCATGGTCTGTTTCTTCTTCTGAAACATCATCAAAATCCGTGTATTGACCAATATCAAAGTCCGGATATTGACCAAGACCAAATTTCGAATACTGACTAGTACTCACAATTTTTTCTGTTGGCTCATCATCGTCTAACTGGTCAATACGAAAACCGGAATTTGGTGCTGAAAGTTGATTGGGATTTGGATTAGAGAAAGGTTGTGGGTTTTGAGAAAAACTTAGTTGATTACTACCCGCTACTGACCCAACAATACTACTTCTAGGTTCAACAACATACAATGTAACATCATCTTGTGAAACACTAATGTAAGCAATGAATCGTTCAACATCTTCATTGTCGGTTAACAAATAAACTTTACCATTTCTCTGATAAGATAGCCTAAATCCACTTAGGGGCTCTAAATTCAATTTATTTGAAACACGTAGCATTAGAGTTTCATAAGTTAACTTTTGTAAAGACAATTTTAGTTGAAGATTCATGGGTAAAGGCATATATTGTAAAACACCATGAACATTATCCCATGACCCTCCAAAACACAAATCTATCCAAACATGATCAACATTAGATGATTTCATGGTTGTAAATTAATTTACTAAACAGACGAGCTGCGAAACTAAAACCTGTTGCCGGATTGGGAAGGATGTCGTTGGATATAGGAACGGATGTCGCCGGAGAGAGTGATAGATGGAGATGGAATGAGTTGCGATTTAGGGATTTAGTTTATGATTTCAGTGTTATATACCCAAAATTTCAGTGTTGTGATTTACAGATTCTCGTTGCGATTTACGGATTATCGTTGCGATTTACAGATTCTCGTTGCGATTTACGGATTATCGTTGCGATTTACGGATACGCGTTGCGATTTACGGATTATCGTTGCGATTTACGGATACGCGTTGCGATTTACGGATACGCATTGCGATTTACGGATACGCGTTGCGATTTACGGATACACGTTGCGGTTTACGGATACGCGTTGCGATTTACGGATACGCGTTGCGATATACGGATACGCATTGCGATTTACCCATACGCGTTGCGATTTACGGATACACGTTGCGATTTACGGATACGCGTTGCGATTTATGTGTTCGCGTTGCGATTTTCATATTCGCGTTGCGATTATGGAAAATCGCAATGCGAATATGTACTATCGCATCGCGATTTTCAAGAATCGCGTTGCGATTTTGGAAACTGATTTGCGATTCTGGGGATCGCGTTGCGATTTTTATTTCGCGTTGCGAATTTGTTGGTCATTTTGGCAAATCCAAAAAAAGTTGGTTAAAATCGTATATTATAACTTTTTTTTGGTCACTGAGGCGATTTTCTCTTATAAAAATGATCCTCTCAACCCAATTTGCTTCATACCAAACACCAATATTCGAACTTATAACATTGTTTAAAAAATCTAATACTTCATCCCATTGACCTTGCTTAAGGAATATAATGTTTTTCCTTTAATAGTCATTTTATATTCATAATTATCGTGCTCTCATCGTAATATAGTTTTTCATTGATTGCATTGCCCGGGCAAAGAGACAAGATAGAGTTCAAAGGAATAAAGAAATCAAATATTTACATATAAACTTCAAATACAGCACAAATCATAAACCCATCCTCTTGGCCTTGGCTAAATGCGAAATAAAAACGTTTCCCTCATCCATATATAATGCCAGACAGAAACACAAAACCACTGCTTAATAACGCTCCAGATTTCAACCCACAATCTCACGCTATGACAAACACACCTACTTCCATAATTTCCCACTAACACGAGCTTTATGCGTCCTTTTATTATGCTTTAGTAGTCACCACCCCTCAAGCGACCACCACCCATCCTTCCACGGCCACGGCTATAGCCTCTACCACCACCACCCTTACCTCTTTCATAACCAGCACCTGTTGGAATAAAACAGTCAAACAAATATTGATAAATAATAGTCAAAAATTTGAGATTCATTTTAATGGATTCTATTCTCCAAATTGGGCTACTTTGATAGATGCAACTGACATGGCTCATAACAAGCAAAAGCTATCGGTCCATATTAAAACATCATCCGCATGATCATTGTGTATTTCCTTTGAACTCTACTTCATTACAACTGGCATTTTAACCTAGACAATTTTTTGTATGATCTTACTCTGAAAATTATGTTCTACATCACTTTTGTCAAAATTAGCAATGGGTTGGTTGATGAGAACTGATGAGCAAGGAAACTCAAGACAGATGTTTGCAATTTCAAGAAAAAGGGCATTCATCTATGAACTATTTATTGTTTCGCATGTATGAAGATTTTAACAATGGCTACTTCCATAGATGTACAAACATGAAACTTCTCAAAGTGAAAAAAATACCACTCCAATAAACTATGAATAAAGTATACTTACCACGATAACCCCAACCTCTTCCTCGCCCACCACCTCTGCCCCAGTTCGAGTATCCTCCATTATCTATTAGAAATAAGTGAAGTATGAAGTATGGTTCAACTAATGTGCAAACTTATACTTGATAAATGTAGAAGTGCAAAGAAAAATGTCAATAATCACAATAACTTTATTAAAAATCCATATACCACACCTTGATAATCCCCATAGTTCGAGTATCCACCCCTGCCCCAACTCCGCCCTCTCCCTCGGCCTCTACCACGACCCCTTCCTTGGCCATATGAATCTAAATACGAAACACAGGAAATGAGTTTGAGATTAAAAGAACAGAGTTCTTAAGACAGTTGCAGAACTACTAGTTCCCGAAAACACCTTCATTAACAGCATTATATGGGACCCGAGCTTGATTGGGTGGTTGCTGCTGCTGCTGATGATGATATTGTGGCTTGGGTTGTTCAGCATAATGTGGAGCTTGATACCTGGAGTGACACGATTCAAGTCATATCAGCAAAGAATTATTTCATTCAAATAAGCAACATAATAAAAATTTGTGTATCATCGGAAGTTAAGACATTTAAGAACTGGCATTTAGTGTATATCGGACTCCAGCTAAGCATAATATTAAAAGTCTAAGATTCCATAGTTTCATTTCCCTGAAAAAAAGTAATAACTGGCTACCGACCAATATCTCATCAATTTACTTCCTCTTTGTTGACAAAGAAACCCGAATAAAATACAAGACAAATTAGCTTACCCAACAGAGTTTTTGTTCAGCTCTTTGGTTGACAAGGTGATAGATATCATTGAGACCTGACGAGTCATCTCTACACTGCACAAAACAGGATATTAAATACTCATTAACATAAAAGTATAAACTCGAATCATTATAAATGAGGGTATGAAAGTCAGATATTTACGGGACGAGACCCTCTTCAATAGGTTCCCAAATATCAGTTATGCTCACTGAGTTAATCGCAGTATCTTGATGCAAGCGAGGAACTCTTTTCTGCTTCACAACACAAGATACATTAATCATGAGAAGTGGAAAACAAAATGCAAGGATGATAAAAAAAGGACACGAACCTTTAAAATCTCAGCAATGGCTACTGTCTTACTGATTGCCTGCCCCATTGCTTTCAAGACAATTTCCTTGACATGCTTGTCCTAAAAAACATCAAGAGAACACTTCAATACAGAAAAACTAATGGTTTCCTATGCCATTACGAAAACAAAACCGAAAAAGGTGCACCATTACCAGGAGAGGCTGAAGTGAACTAAATAATTCATGTCAATCAACGTAAGAATGTAATACGCAAAAGGAAGAGAAACCAGCTTCCAGTAAAAGAATCGCATAAAAGGAAAATTGCGTGTTCGAATTTGATTTCTTCCGTATTTAGCTAAGCATATGGCAAATAATACCAACTCATCAAATAGCATATGAACTGACAGAATATAGAAACAATCTCTGCATTACCACAAATAAAGCATGGTTGAATTTAAAAATAAAAACCAAATTTTATATGACTAAAATCAGCACAAGAATAGAGCAGATATTACCATAATAACAAGAAAGGACCCAACGAGAAACGAAAACAAACTCTGGTAAAAAAGAAAAGAAACCTAATGCAAACATTTTCCTAAAATAAAACCCCCAAAACTGTCAAGTAGCTAACACTATTTTTTTTTTTTTTGAAAATCAAGTAGCTAACACTAAAAACCCGAAAACCTGGAACAAACTTGCAGGTTTCAAATCTCTAAAAAAACAGCTACCGAGGCAAATAAACCATAGAAGAAAGCTACCCATAACAAGGAGAAAAACCCAAGAGCACGAAATGCCCAGCAAACAAAAATGGAAACATGAATGTAACTGATAAAAGGGGGTGAAGGAGAAGAGGGATGGGACCTGAAGAAGAGCAATAGCATAGTTGATGTAGTTTCGAATAGCGCCTTGAGAAGTGATTCGGATCTCATTCTCGTTAATGGGTGATTCAGGCTTTGGTTTCTCTACTTTCTGGTATCTATCCATTCGCTGATGATGATGGGGAAAAAACCCCTGATTTAAACCCTAAAGCCTGTAACAGGACGAATCAAAACGTTGGCTGTTAAGCGAACCCTTTCTCCTCTCTATGGCCTTGGCTCATGCTTTCTCCCATTTTTTTACCTTGTCGGGTTTTCGGGAGAGAATAACTTTTCTTTCCCGCACTCGCTACAGGAAAGCGGGTTTCCAACACGAACGGCTAAGATTGGATATCCAACCTCTAGGCCCAATTTTTTTTTCTTCTTAATCTGAATATTTTCTTCTTCTAATCACGAAATGAAGAGTAAAGTAGCCAACAGAAGAAGGATGCGTAAAGTTATTTTCTACTTTTGGCTAATAAACTTTTAAAAGTTATCTTAAAATTATAATAATAATATTCTTTAAAATTTTGAAACGTATAGCATCAACTATCACAATATAATCAAATAACAGAACCAAGTGATATTTATAAAACAAACAATATTATAATTAAACAAACATTTTTCTTGAATTATAATATAATTAATCATATTTTTGGGATATCACTTGGCTTTATATATATCACTTGAATTTTATACTTGTATTATCGAATTTAATTGTGATAATTTTTCTTATTGTCATTTTTATTTTTATTTTTGGGTATTTTATACATTTTAGAAGTTCAGAGAATTTTATATAACTTTTTTTTAAAAAATATATGTCATGTCATCCCTTAATAGGTAAGGATGAAGTGAATATAATAGTTATATTATAATTTTTTGAAAGTTTATTATCTAAAAAATTAAATAATAGTAGTTTATGGACTATTAGTCTATTTTATCCAAAACGAAAATAGTTTAAATGTTTTTGAAATGCCTTTCTTCTATTTATTTTTGTTATTTAGTAAAAAAAACATGCTCTTAAAATATAGTAAAATATATTATTATTATTATTATTATTATTATTATTATTATTATTATTATTATTATTATTATTGTTGTTGTAAAAGAAAGAGTTAATTGTACCATGTATATCAAATTATGACTCTCATCTAAATTTTTTTGGATAAGTAAATTATATTCATCCAAAAAGAATGCAGCCAAACTGCTACAAACATAACCAACCTCAGCTAGATAAGTCCCCAATTCATGAACAATTGCCTATTTACATCGTCAATCCTATACATGTCATGTCTATACAGTTTAAGTTTCACATCCTCCCTCAGCTTATTTACAGTTCCCTCAGCTTATTTACAGTTACCTCAGCCGAACAAGCCAACCTTCTATAGTGTCTAAAATTGCGTTCCTTCCATATAAAATAGAGATATCCAGTCCACGCAAGCTTGAGTATACGTACTCTGATGGATTTACCCTTCAAATTAACCAACAACCAATGGAGAAGCTCGTCCCAACTATGAAACTCATGTGAAAGACCACAAGCAATCAAAAAAGAATCCCAAACATCCTTAGCATAAGAACAGTCAGCAAAAAGATGGACCCGAGACTCCATACCAGTCCCACACAACCCACATACATTATCAACAATCAAACCAAAACGAGTAAGTCTATCCTTGGTAGGTAGCCTATCAAGGATGGCCATCCAAGAAATTAACGAAATTTTGGGAATGTGAGCAGGAAACCAAATAAGTCTATGCCAAACAACTTTCTCCCTACTAATACGAATAATGTCCCAGATCCATTTTCCAGTTATAATGCTCCAGTTTGCACAAGGGAGAAACAGAGTCCTAGTTTCCTCTTTCAGTCTAAGCATCTGGCTTAAGATCCAACTAAAGTGTGGTTTGCATACAACCTCCCAGTAACTCGTTGACTTGAAGCAGTACTCCTTAATCCATGCAATCCAGAGAGATCCATCATTAGCCAGGATATTCCGGATTAGCAGTAAGCAACAGGTACTGCTCCATTCCACAAGCTTCTTAAGCCCCAGGCCACCTTCAAACTTCAGGGTACATATCTAGCTCCAGCCCACACGGGCACCTTTGGCAGGGGAGTCACTGCCCATCCAAAAGAAGCGCATACACAACCTCTCAATATCCCTAATAATCCCAACTCAACTCTAGTAGTTAAACATGCTGAGCATAACAGTTTTAACTAACTGCAACCTACCCCCAAAAATGAGTTTTTTGTTAGACCATTGACTAAGCTTGTCTCTAATCCTAGTCAACAAGGCATTACCAGTTAGTTTTCTGGTCACCAAAGGTACCCCAAGGTACCTAACAGGGAGCTATCCCAACCTAAACCCAGCAGCCCTACAAATTTGCTCAACAGTGTGCTCATTCAAACCACAAGCAAAGAATTCAGTCTTCTGAGCATTTAACTTAAGTCCTGACAGCTCATAAAACTTCTCTAAAGTATTTTGTACTCCCAACACATCATCAACTGAACCATAGCAAAATACTAACAAATCATCTGCAAAGCAGAGGTGGGTGAGGGAAATTCTCTTGTATTTAGGATGGAATTTAAAAATTCCCTTATTTGCAGCAGTGTCCAAGAGGGAAGACATGACATTTATAGCAATGACAAAGAGATAGGGAAATAAAGGATATCCCTGCCTAATCCCTCTTTCACCCTTGAAGAACCCCACCAAACTTCCATTTAAGGAGACAAAGTACAGAGGAGTAGTAATACAAGTCTTGATCCATTTACAAAAAATAGCAGGCATCCCAAGGCCTCAAGAATAGTCAATAAGAACCCCCAATTAACATAAACAAAGGCCTTTTACAAATCAATTTTAATAGCACACCTAGGAGAAAGACTCTTCCTAGAGTAGCCTTTGACAATCTCCTGGGCTAGCAATGTATTATCAACAATATTCATGCCCTTAACAAATGCTTATTGACTTTGTGAGATCATAGCAGGTAAAAAATGAACTAGTCTATTTATAAGAATTCTTGTAATGGCTTTATAAACCACTGAACAACAGGAAATAGGCCTAAAATCTTTTTCTAAGCAAGCATTAAGTGACTTAGGGACCAAAACTAAGGTTGTAGCATTGAAGGCTGACAGTAAACAAAAGGAATGAAAAAAGTACCTGGCAGTAGACACAAAATCAGTCCCAACAATGTCCTAGGCAGCTTTGAAAAAACCAGAAATATATCCATCAGGGCCAGGACTTTTATCCTTCCCTTGTCTAAATAGGGCACTTTTAATATCCACATCATCCACTTCTTTTGTAAGGAGATCAACTTCTTTAACAGGAAAAGAATAGTTCAGCAGCTCCTTCAAACTTTCAACAGTGATGTCACTAACTAATGTGTCAGCAGAACCAATTAGATTAGTGAAGTAATTCACTAATTCAGTAGCCATATCATCATATGATTCATAACACTGCCCATCTTCACCCTTAATAACCCTAATTATATTTCTCTTTTTATTAACTTCAACTCTCTGGTGAAAAAATCTAGTATTCAAGTCCCCCTCCTTTAACAAGTGTATCTCGGCTTTCTGCCTATAAAACCCTGATTCAACCACTTCCAGATCCACTAATTCAATATGGGTACTTCTTTCCTCTTCAACTCTCCTCTTCTCAACATGAGACATGTTAAACACTTGAATATGTTCCAGCTCAACTCTCTTGCTTCTGACTATGTCAGAAATAACATAAAAGTGTACCTTGTTAAATTCTTTAAGGCAAGGCTTCAGTCTTCTCAGCCTATTGAACAAACACTGCATAGAAGAACCTACAAAGTGTACTTGCCAAGACTCCTTAACAATCCAAAAAAATCCTCATGAGCAGTCCAACATTTAAAGAACTTAAAAGGCCTAGGTTTCTTAGTCAAAGCTCCTTTGTATGACCACAGTAAGCCAAGGAAATTATTAGAAGCACCTTGAGCCTTAAACTCAGCAAAGGACTCAGGAAAGTCTAGCAGCCATTGAGGATCAACTAAAATCTTGTATAACTTCCTAGCCAAAAAAGACCATTCCTGCCTATTTGACCAAGTGAACATGGGCCCCAAGAATAGATGATCAATCAAGTCAAGGTCTTCCAAGCACCCCTGAAAATCCCTCATGTCAGGGGTAGAATGCACACCCATAATATCAAAATCATAACTTTCCTCAGCCCTTGCATTAATGTTAAAATCCCCTCCAATCACCTATGATGAATACCCAATGTCATTCTCAACACACCTCAAGTGATCCCAAAGCCTTCTTCTAACCACCCCATTATTACTGCCATATATGGCAGTAATACCAGCCCTATGCCCTCCAACAGTACCAATTATTGTAATAGCCTGATCACATACCCTCAAAACAGAAAGTTGTCAATGTTTTTTTCCATAGAATCCATAGTCTACATCCTTCAACAGCAACATAATTATCAGCAATGTTCCAATCACCAGAAAAGGAAGAAATGAACTTGGTAGAATTGTCACTTCTGATCCGAGACTCCATAAGACAAATGATGTCAACCTCAACAGAGACCAATCTCCTAAACACCTTCAGCTACTTCAGGGGGTTATTGACCCCCCTGACATTCCAAAAACTTACTAGCATCAGGAGGAAATAGTGGGAGCACCACTACCAGGGCTCAAATTTACCATATAACACTTAAATTTATCAATATGGTCCTTTTTCTTAGCCTTAATCTCATTAAGGAGCATAACCACTCCAACAGAGGCATCACGAGCCTTCCTAGGACCATCAACCAAGACTTCTGCCTTGCCAAAAGAACCAGTAACATCTTTTTCCTTCCCCTAGGCTTTTTTTTTTCATAGAATCTTGAAGAGAGGGAAATTCACCAGATTTTGCATCTTTATGGAGGGAAGTTAACCCTGTATCCTCAGTAACATGTTTACTGACACAATGACTGGTATCAACCTCTTTTTGTGTCACAACAGCAGCTGTTGTGGCTGCAGGTTGGTTCACAGAGGGGTTAACAGTATGCTGCATAGTAGCCTTTTTCTTAGCATCACTATGGTCTTGCAATGATTGCACAGTTGTTTCGACAACAAAACTAACCTGTAATCCATTCCTCATCATCTTATCATTGATAATACTATCATCCCCCTGAGAGAGCTCTCCCTTAGAGCTGCAATGCACATCAGTTGATACAAAGGCATTTACAGGCTGAACAGATGTAAGTTCAGGCAGCTCCTTCTGATCAATCCTAGAAGAGCTGACCTTATTATCAGATTCAAGAGTACTAAGGACATCCTTTTTCTGCCAAACTTTAACTTCTCTGGGTTTCACAAAAGCTTGCCCAACCTCAGTGCAAGACATGCCTGATGTCAAAAAGCCTTACATTTATCACATCACTTAGGAACCCAAGGCACCTGCACTCTAATTCTCACTAAAGAACCATTACTAAGAAGCACATGGATCATATCTGGAATAACTCTGCCAATCTCAACCTCAATGCAAACCTTGGCATACTCAAGTCTCATTCTAGAAGTAGTTATGGAGTTCATATACAAGGGATTACCTAACGCACTCTCGATGTAACTAAAGCCCCTTTGAGAATAGAGTTCCAATGGAATGTTGTAGAGCTGAACCCAGATCGAAACACGGGATAGGTCAAAATTAAGGTTTTGCAGACTAGATTCCCATTTTCTCAGAACAAGAGGCTTGTTCTGAACGTGCCAGGGACCGTTTTTCAGAACCCATTCCCTCAAATCAGAATTTAAAAATAGGAAAACATAAAGGTTAGGGCCAGCCAGACTAACCTTCACTCGCGTCGATTTCCCCCAAATCGATCCAATGATACGCTACATTGAGTTGAAACTATGAGCCATACCAATAAACTGCCCCACAATCGCAAGATTCCAGTCAGCAATTCCTTCTTAAATGACCTCAAACGGAGGTTTAACAATTGTAATTCCATCCTAAAAATCCTGGGGAAAGAATTCAAGAGGTTGCTCCTTCGAACCCACAAATAATTTCCTCCATTCCAGCCCCGATGATGAATAATCCATGCAATAAAATCAAGAAACAAACTAGGAAAGCGATGGAAAGCCAAATCGAAAGAACAATTAGAAGAGGAGAAGAGAGACTAAGGACCCATTAGTCTAGCTAACGATCACCCACAGAGTCTTTATTTCCTTCTATGATAACTACTCTCATCTAAATTTGTAATACCCCAAAAATTTAGACAATGACCAAAATAAAAATTTTGAAAGTTTGTTAGCCAAAGTAGTAAGTTGGGAAAAGTTTGAGGAAATTAAGTGGTAAAGTTCTTGAAAAGAATTTTATTTCATAAATAGATAGTTTACTCTTGAGAGTGGGGTTTTATGGAATTATATTTGGAATTTGGTAAAGAAAAATTAGAAATGGTTAAAACCGGTAAGGAATCGGTAATTTCATATTGAATTGGAATCTTACAAAAATTTGAAGGATGTTTTAAAATAGTTGGAAATATTATTTTAATATTTTGGATCAGATAAATTTGGTATGGAAATGTGCAATTTTTTAGATTTAATTGAAATACTGGAATTTAGTGACTAAAATGCAAGTTTTGAAATTTCATGGGAAAATTCGGAAATTTAAAGTCAAAATATTTCATCTTTGACTTTGAAAGATGATAAGGATGAGGTGTATAGGTTTTATGGTGAATATGGAAAATCATTAATGGCAAAAATGGAAATTCCTATTGATTTGAATAAAAAAAATCCATTATACCATGTGATGGATTATTTAATATTAGACTATCAATAATATGGAGCATTTTCAACTTCTTCCTCATCCAAGCTTGCCGTGGGTTTGCTTCAAAGGTAAGGGAAAGATTCATCTCAGATTTCAAGTAATTTACTTAGGATTTTGAGTAAGTTGTAAATAGAAAATTGTTATACGTGAAAAAACTCTATCTTTTGGTACCAATATTGCATGGTAATCTTGTTGGTGTTCAAAGATCCCAAATTTAAGGGTTTGTGTTCATATAAAGGATCATGAAATTGATGATGGATTTTGATGTTTGTGAGGTAATATATTCATATTCAAGCATGTGTGATGATTAGAACATGTTTAATCTTTTTAGAACTTGTTATATGAGTTTTGGTCATGGATTGTTTGAGTGAGAAAAATTATGGAAAAATTATACATGGGTTGAAAATGATGAAGGAAGTATGCTACAAGTTTTAGAAAATTTGAGGACCATTTCGTAAGTTTTGAAAAGTTGGATATCAATTCGTAAATTTTGGAAAATTAAGGGATTGTTGTGTAAGTGTTATATAATTGATGTGCTATGCTGGAATTTTGGTATTAAGAATATAAGTGATAAAATGATGAAGGACCATTTTATATAAGTTGGAAAAATTGGTGACAAGATTAAAAAGAATTAATAAGTGTTTAAATATTTGGTAGAAATTGAGTTCAAGTATATCATGGAGTTGTTATGGGATATGTTTATGTTAGTATAATACTAACATATGTATAGTATGAATTTGTGATTTATTCAGATCGTGATTGATTTGTGATCGAAGCAAGTCAAATAGAAAAGGGTTTATTGTGGACAATAGTGAGGCACATATTTTCAAAGATATAAAGTGTCAATGTGAGTGCAATACATGTATGAAATTATACATGGATGTTTTATACATCATAAGGAAGACTTGCGATAAGTCTACCTTGTTTATATCAGCATGATATTATGTCATATTTTTATAAATTGACATGACATTTATATGTCATAGTATGAAATTATAATGCATTGATTTTGGAAAATGTGATATTTTACCATGAATGTTATTTTGGGTATGAACTGCCCCATTGTTAAATATTGATAATATACTTTGCCATGGATGAATCAAATAAAATAGACTGTATGCCCAAGTAAGTCATTGAGGGAGAGGGTATAGTTGGCATGCCATAGAGTCCAGCAATAGGCTGTATACGGGATACACTAAAGGATACCTAGTGTATATGGTGGACACGACCTTATGTGTCATACGGATTATGGTGGACACGACCTTATGTGTCATACGAATTATGGTGGACACGACTTTATGTGTCATACGGATTAGCACTACGGTGCTTATATTTGACTCGTGTACCCAGGGTCCTCAGGGTTGTATATTGGGCTATTGTCTATGGTTTATGGTTTATTGGTTAATAAATGGTAAGTTATACAAATAAGCTTACGAGTTATTAGAATGAATGGCAAGTATTTTGGAAAGAATATTTTTTTATATTCAATTATGATATTTTGATCATGGTAAAATATTGAATATGCTATTAGCATGGTTTTATGGCATTTGATTTGGAATTTAAATTCATGCATGAATTGTATTGCACTATTTCTTGTTATAATTGCCTCACTAAATATATACTTAGCGTGTGATGATTTTCACGCGTAGGTAAAAAGTGGAATAAAGAGTTCAAAGTGATATCAAGCATCGAGAGGTATATTTCAATATCAGTAAGACATCCTATGATGGAATTTGATTTTATATAGTGGCATGTAATTTGAAAATGTTCAATTTATTTGTTGAATAAATTTTGAAAAATTTTATAGTGATGAAAGGTTAATTTTTATGAATTTATATGTATTTTCGGAAGTTACTGTAGCAGTTACGGTAGCATGAACAGTAACCATGTTTTTAAGCAAAATTTTCAGAATGATTTTGGGTACCGATTCCCCCAACAGGGAACCGATTCCCCTACCGTTCATCGCCACTGTTCACTATTACTGTTCATGGGTAATGTTCACTATTCATAAAAAAAATCTTTTGAATTAAATTCGTTATAATGAAACATAATTTATATGATATGATATTTTTATAATATCAATTACCATTTTAAGAAAATAAATTTTCAAATCACTTGTAAAAGTGGAAATGGTTTTAATTATTCGGGTGACATCTATAATCTGTATAGGTATAATTATACGGGTTATGGGCGTTACAAAATTAGTCTTCAAACTTTTTTAACATTTCAATTTCATCCCTAAACTATAGATCTCCTTTTAAATTGGTCCCAAAACTTTTGGACCTTTCAAGTCAATTCCAAACTATGACCCTCATTCTAAATTAGTCATGAAGTTTTTGAATGCTTTGATTCGATCCTTAAATTATCATTATATGTCAATCATGTCTCATGTTAATAAAAACGTTAAAAAATATTAATTATCATATAAACAATGATTTGTATTATGTAATAATATGATGTGGTATAAATGATAAATTAATGTTGTATCACGTTTTTTGAAATCATTAATTAAAATAAAAATTCAAAGATTCTTTGGTTTTTTTGTTTATAATCATTTCTACCGTTCAAATTTAAGTCATTGTTTTATTTAAATTTAAAATTAATTATTATTTATGTCATATCATATTATTATACAATACACATAAGTATTTATATGATTGTTAACATTTTTATGATAATTTTAATAACATGAGATGTAATTAGTATATATTGTTACTTTGAGGTTGAACTTGAAGCATTCAAAGGTATAGGCTATAATTTAAAATGATATACATAATTTGAGAGATAGAATTAGAATGTTCAAAATTTTGTGGATTAGTTTATAATTTGAGAGATTGTTCAGGAATGAAATTAAAAAATTTAAAAGTTTAGAGACTAATTTAAAATAAATATAATAATTTAAAGATGTGTACTAATTTTTAACTCTAAATAAATTATATTTAGGGTAAACTAAAAATTTCCTCATTAAATTTCACTCTCTATCCTATTTTATCACTATACTTTTAATTTTTTTCAAATTACTCATTGAACTTTAGGGTCTCTATGAATTTTCTTTTTTTATTATTATTCTATGACATGCCATTTTTAAATATTATTATATATAAAAATAATTTAAAATAAATAAAAAATTAATATTTCATTATTATTAAATCTAAAAATATTTAAAAAAATCACCGCTACTTCTTGTCATCATCAACCACCATTGGTCTTCGAAACCAACAGTCGTTTAATCCCAAATTGTACCGAGAGACTCACTTTGACACACTGAGTTTAAATTTAGTGGTTGTTTTCATCGAAAAATATCATAAAATTGTCTAATCTCGATTGAAGCGTTTCAATTTTTCACTTTCGATCTCCTATTCATGGACTTTGGATCTTGTTCCGACAAAATGGAGGTTGAATTAAGACTCAAGGCATCAAGACAAAGTGACGATGAAATATAGAACTAAACGACCACCATCTACGATCATCAGTGTTTTTGTTTCCTCATTTTCAATCTCCTATTCGAGGATTTTATACCATGTTCCAATAAAATGGAAGTCACATTCGAACTCTCGACCCGATGATGGCGTCCAACGACAACAAACAGTGGACGGCCACCATTTGGGTTTAATTTTAAATTATTTTTATATTACATAATAAAAAATGTCATATCATGGCAAAATAATAATAAAATTTTAGAGTGATCAAAATAGGGACAATTCAAAATTTAGTGAAAAAATTAAAAAAATTAAAAGTACAGTGAGTGAAATAGCAGAGAGAGAGAGTAAAATTTAAATACTAAATTAATTATTTACCCTCATTCTTATTACGATTGTTGTTTTTGAAAAACTAACTTTGTAACGCGGCAACAATTCAGCCATTATTTCATGAAAAATATTTTCTTCATGGAATTCACATTTGAAATTCTGAAATGGAGAAGAAGAAAAAAATAATTCAGTGTGAAGACACCATTATAGTAAGTATGAGAACGAGAGGATTAATCCTGAGAGAAGAACTTGAGACCTTGTTTCCTCGCGAGACTCTTGGCTCACATTGTATTTCTAAATAATAATTATCTTTTCGGCCCAAAACAACTTGAGCAGTGCCGGGTCGGAGGTTTTAAGTCTGTTGGGCCAACCGAGCCTGTTTGATCTGCAGTATTTTCACTGTGATATTTTAGTCCTAAGAAGGACCTTTGAAGTTGAATTCAACACCGGAGCTTTTCTCTTCGGTATAAACTCCCGCCAAAGCAATGGCAAACAATCCGTCGCAGCTTCTTCCGTCAGGTGACAGTTCCCCCTCCACCATTTTTTTCCATCACTTTCTCGAGAAAATCAGATCAAATGCCAATTTGGTTTGTTTTTGCCTGCAGAGTTGATAGACAGGTGCATAGGGTCCAAAATCTGGGTGATAATGAAAGGGGACAAGGAACTCGTGGGTACTCTAAGAGGCTTCGATGTCTACGTCAATATGGTCCTCGAAGATGTCACTGAATAGTAAACTCCTTCCCCCCTTTTTTTCTTTTAATGTTTAGATTTAGATATATCAGCTCAAACTCTCCCTGCAATGTTCTGTGTGTTAGGGTTTTATTCTTTGGTCACTAGGAAGTAGGGCTACGAAATTGATGAGAAAGATAGCAAGCTTTCTGGGTATAGTTACGTTGTTTGAATTTAACAGATGCCATATTTTGGGTAGCCTTTGTTTCCCCCATTTAATTTTTTCAAAGTCTCTAACTTTAAGTTCAGGGTTTTCAGCTACCATTTTCATTATTATTTATTTTGTATTATTTAGAATTCTCATTATTGAAGGGAAAATTGAGGACCGGTTGTCCATATTTTGGGCTGGAAATTCACTCACTTTGCCAACCGCACTGCTATCGGCTTTTACATTCTGTCCCAATTGAGCATGTTTGCCTGATTTCACGATATTTGCATTTCGTTTACTAGGTGGTGATGGTTATTTCTTTTGAGAGGGAAAGAGAGGTTTGATTTGATTTTCTCACATTGGCTAAAAAATACGGGTGTTATAGAAGAAAATGTATGTATACGTCTGCCCCGTGCTCGACCGCATGCTTAAGAGATTTCTGAATGTTTGGCCCCTTAAATAGAACATTATAGCTCGTGCTGATCTTGGTTGCTTCTCCGTTCCTTTTTTGCATATTACAGTGAGATCACTGCTGAAGGAAGACGGATCACAAAGCTTGATCAAATTTTACTTAATGGAAACAACATTGCCATTGTAAGATTTAGTGTTCTTTTTTCCTGATTTAGTGAATGCATTTCTTGTCGTTAGGTGAAACCCTAATTTACTTAGGTCTGGTATATTTGAGTTATTTCATCATGGATTGAAACAAATTTTGGCTAGATCATATAACGGAACGGTAGCAATTTGTAAAATTAGAAATCAAAGGCTACTCATTGTAACTAATGCTATAAAATTTCTTACACTTTATTTTTTCGTGTGATGCAGTTGGTCCCGGGAGGCTCACCTGATGTGGAATAAGAGTGTATGCTCCATGTTTCTTTAATGATATTAGTTCCAGGCTATATTCTGTTTTAATGAGAAATCTGGTGCCAAAAGAAAGCTCTTATTATTTAACTCAATTCACTGTAAGGATCTTGAAATTTGGTAGGAAGTTTGCCACAGTTACTGTAATGGTTAATGATTGATTATGTTGATCAGAAAATTTCAAATGCTTTTAGTTCTGATGTCACTTTTATGCATCATCATTGTTAACATATATGATGGATCCGGCTATTTGACATAACTGACACCAATTTTCTTTAATATTCTCTTTTTGACACCGTTTGACCAATATTTCCCGAAGTAGCACCTTTTCTGCTGAGTTGGCAAAGGCGCGTCCCCGGGGACGCGTTTTACCCGTGTTTTCGCTAAGTTGGATGCCACGTGTGGAAGGCGCATCCCCGAGGACGCGCCTTCACTGACTTGACTGCAACGTGTGGAAAGCGTATCCCCGGGGACGCGCCTTCCATTAAATGCCATAAATGCCCCCATCCGTTTTTCCTAACTACCCCTCCTCCTCCCCTATATAAACCCCCTCAACCCTTCCTCATTCTTCACACCAAAATCATATTCTCCTCTCTTATATAACTCAAATTCTCCAACTATTTGAGTTTTAAATTTGTTATTAGTGGTAAGAAATTTATTTTTATGTTAGTATTTTTTTAAATAGTTATTATTTTTATATTAATATATTATGTAAATATTATTTTTTTATTAAAATAATATTTATATAATTATTATTTATTTAGAATTATTAATTTTTATTGCTAATTATATTGTTTTGTCTACAGTTATAATGGAAAACGAAATGCTGTTGCGATTGGATATTGATCATATCTCCAGACATTTTAGCGATATAGTAATATTTTTTATAATTAATGTTAATATTTAAATTTATTTTTATTTTAAAGTTATTATGAATTTATATTAATTTTTATTTTTTATAATGTATATTATTTATGATACTGATCGTATTTTAGAGACTTTTATTAAAAATCCACGTATACCGACATCAGAACGTATTTTGCCATATTTGGCTTCTGTCGGGTTCGGGTATATTGCAACAATTATAGACGGTTGCAAACTCGAACCTGTCCTAATTTCTGCACTGATTGAGAGGTGGAGGCCCGAGACACACACTTTTCACCTTCCATGTGGAGAGGCGACAATTACATTGGAGGATGTCTCTATGCATCTGGGGCTTCCCGTCGACGGAAATATGATGTGTGGTATGGCGGATGGTGATTGGCAATCAATGTGCATTGATTATCTTGGAGCTGCTCCGCCAGAGTTTAATGGAGGTAGAATAGCTTTATCTTGGTTGAAAGCTAATTTTGAGGTTTTAAATGAAAATGCTTCAGAGGATCAAGCAAAGGCATGTGCTCGGGCATATATTCTACGAATAATTGGAGGAATATTGATGCCCGACAAATCTCGCAACCAGGTGCATTGTATGTGGTTGCGACATCTGATCGATTTTGATGAAGCTGGAAGATATAGTTGGGGCGTTGCAGTTTTGGCATTTCTCTTTAGAGAAATGTGTCAGGCAACGAATTATAAGAAAACTGCTATCGGTGGATGTCTTCTGCTTCTATAATCATGGGCGTGGTTCCGCATGCCTTTCTTATGCCCGATCGTGAATGAACCATACGTATTCCCCTTATTGTTGAGGTAATTTTCGAACTAAATTTTGATTTAAATATTTTCAATTAAATAGGGTGATATTTAGTTTATATTATATTTCATAGGTGGTCGATGAAAAGAAAGGACCATAAAAGTATACCTACTGGGTTAGAGGAAATTCGTTTACTTATTGATACGAAAGCTGGGTCTGAGGTATGTTTTTAAATTTGTTTAATTATTAATATTTTAATTTAAAATGTTAGATATAATTAGAATATTTTATTTATTTGAATTGTATATTTATATTTCAGTTTCAGTGGATACCTTATGCGAGTGATGAAGTGAAAGCTTGCATCTCACCCCACCTTAGTGGGTCATTAGAGGTATGGATATCGGTTATACCTCTTATATGTTATGCTATTATTGAGTGGCATCCAGTTGATCACGTGCTCCGTCAGTATGATTGTACGCAATATATTCCTGGAGTTCCTAGGAATTTAGACGACGTGCATAAGATAGATAGACGAGGAAAGAAAGATGTTAACTGGGTGGTGAGACACAGAGATTGGATTGCGCTTTGGGAGAACCGATATACACTGTTGGCCCCTCGACAATATTACGCTGAAACTGGTCATATGGTTACGGATAACTATATGGACTGGTTTAATGAAAATGGGAAGCCGTTTCTACTTTCGGCGGAAGCACGAGGGGTTAACATTCCTAGGCGCCGAGCAAGACGTCAACCGTCTCAATATCATCGTCCCCCGACGCGTGGACGGAGAGAAGGCGCTACCGGTTCTGCATCAGTCCCACCACAACATCCTTATTCGTCGATGCCGCAGGGGTACATGCCCAGCCCTCAACTTCATATGCCAAGCCCACCAGTTTATATGCCATCTCCGCATGGTTACATTCCGAGCCCGCAGGGTTACATTCCTAGCCCGCCAGGTTACATGCCTAGCCCGCAGGGTTTTATACCATATGGAGGTGCATATACGATTATGTTTAATGATCCAGCATATGGTTCATATGCATCTTATTTGGCTGGTGGTGCTTCTCCGCAGACACCTCAATCTCCATCTGGATCACAGACATCGATGCCAATGTTTCCACAGTTTTCACAGTTCCCGGGGAGCGGTGGGATTGTTACTAGCACTCCTCCAGGTCGTTATTTTATACAGGCCCTTCAGCCCCTTCAGCGTCATCTACACCAAATGAAGAAAATGCTGGTGATGATGATAGTGAAGATGAGGAGACTGAAGAACAAGTTCCACGAAATAGACAACCACCGCCATGTGGAAGTCATTCGAGAAGACGACATTGGTGAACCAGTTGTATTTAATGTTATTTAAATAATTATATTTCAGAATTTTATGTAATTTGGTTATGTTATTGAAATGCTTCATGGCTGTTACATACATATTTTTTAATGTTATTTTTTATTCACATTTAACATTAAATGTTTGATAAATGTTTTTAAAATACAAATTATATTATTCGAAATTTAAAATAAAAATAATATTATTCGAAATTTAAATTTAAAATATAAATTATAGTATTCGAAATTTAACATTAAATTTCAACTTAATATTCCAATTGTATTTGAAATTAAAAGTTATATTCCAATTATAGTTCACAATACTTAAATTGAAATTAAATTTATCCATACATATGATTTTATCATTAACATATATATTAAAACGTATACATTAAAATCAACTTATGTTGAGTTAATCGATCGACGGAATCGGCCAAGAGGGGGGTGAATTGGCAATTTATTCAATGTCACATTTCAATGCTCATTCCATACAATTTCAATGTCACAATCAACTTATCACTTCACATTTATTCAATTTATCCATAACATTTTATCTAATTTATTCAAACTTCACATAACGTTTTAATTTAAGTTATTCTTAACTTGCTGAACTTTCAAAAGAAGTTAATTTTTGGTTATAATTTACCTGATTTACTGATATATCTAGTGTCCCCGAGGGACATGAGTGATATAATAGGGCAATGATAACATATTCTATGACAAAATAATGGAAGGCGCCCCCCCGGGAACGTGCCTTCAAGTCCCCTGAGAAATAATAGGTACTGATATGAATAATGTCCCCGAGGGACATGAGTGACATAATAGGGCAATGATAACATATTCTATGACAAAATAATGGAAGGCGCGCCCCGGGAACGCTCCTTCATGTGAATAGTGAAATAATAGGTACTGATATATCTAGTGTCCCCGAGGGACATGAGTGACATAATAGGGCAATGATAACATATTCTATGACAAAATAATGGAAGGCGCGCCCCCGGAACGCGCCTTCATGTGAATAGTGAAATAATAGGTACTGATATATCTAGTGTCCCCGAGGGACATGAGTGACATAATAGGGCAATGATAACATATTCTCTGACAAAATAATGGAAGGCGCGCCCCCGGGAACGCGCCTTAATGTGAATAGTAAAATAATAGGTACTGATATATCTAGTGTCCCCGAGGGACATGAGTGACATAATAAGGCAATGATAACATATTCTCTGAAATAATGGAAGGCGCGCCCCCGGGAACGCGCCTTCATGTGAATAGTACTCCGATTATAGACACTATTATATGCAACATATTATAAACTTTCAAAACAAACTTCAGTTCACAAGCTTTCAAATTCTCAAATTCCCAAACTCTAAATTCTCAAATTCTCTGAAAATGAGTCGTCTTTCTGCTGTTGTTTTGTATGATGGACTAATTAAGGAAGCTGAAGAGTGGGTTATTTTTGAGTCAGATCATTATATCCCCTTAATCTTGAAGAGAAACATCACAATTGAGGAGTTAATCACAAAAATTTCGTTAAAGATTCGTGTAGCAGGCCAGAGAAGACTATCTTCACTTCAGTACAGATTTCCTACTGAACTTTTTCCGCTCACGTATATATCATTTCAGCTTTCAAACGATGATGATGTTTCTATGATGGTTGATGCTCATATGGGGAGTTCACAATCTCTTATTGAAATGTATGCCACTTTTATTGAGGTTCGTATAACTCGTGGTCTCTCATATTCCTCTCACTTTGGCATTGCATATCAAACTGATCAAGTTGATAGCCCGACACAACTGATCTGTAATGATTTCACATCATTAATGGCGGATCCAACGCCAGATACCATGCCATCAAGTTCAATAGGAAGGCATTCATCTGCAACTGCTTATGATCTCAACCCACGTGGCTTCACCAATAATCCATATGGCAACATCTCTTCTACTTCAAGGGGCAGACATTCATCTGCCAATGTTTTCGACTTACATATGGAAATGCCAACGAGACGACAGTCTATTCACATCCCACATGATACAATGGCCTCAAGTTCAAGGGGAGGACACGCAAGCGGGAACTTATTTGACATCAACATTGGATTATCGGAGGAACCCTCATCTCCACCAGAAAAACCTCTTCGGGAGCCAGGTGCAGATGGTGCTGAAACGGGATTATTCGTTGAACCTGACTCACCACAGTTTAACGTACATTCTGATGATGACGAGGATGACGTTCCGATAAAT